TGTCATCATACACAGTGGGCAGCACACACAGACCCCTGCTGTTCCTTTATGAAGGACAGATGGGGAGGGTCTCGGGAAGGGATGCTCACTCACTGTCCACCTGGCCAGAAGCCTCTCCCCTTCTCTCTGCCTCCCTTATCATCCACACTCTCCTTTATAGAACAGGACACGTTGGCTTTGTTCTTTGACCTCATTTCATTTTGAATTTTCAAAGCTTGGTGTAACTCGTTTTATGCCTTCAACTTGAAAAGTTATTTTAGAAATTGCGATCATTGTTGCCACATTTTTCTTAGATGTTTAAAATGGTGGTTACCTGCCTTATTTGTAGACAATGCGTAGAGGTAAATGCTGGCGATGAGGGTGTTTGTTTTTAATGTTAATATGTTTGTCTGATAGCTGAGTTCTAGGGGTTGTGAAAAAGAAAGGTGTATAAAATACATGACACAGTGACAGAAGAATTTGACCTAAATAATGAGATCCTGGAGTATATAATTTATTTTTTTCATGTAAAAATGTGTTTAAGTATAGTTTACTAAGTTTGAAAACTTGGTTCAGTAATTGATTATTATAAGACTTTGAATGTGTGGCTCTAAAATGAGTTTATTCACTGCTCTTCAGTGGTCATTGAACTCACTTTAGAGCCACACAAAATGGCTGGAAAACATACCTCACAGTAACATGTAGAAAGAATTTATTTTCCTGCTTACTAAGTTACAGTACCCAGTCTTAAATCTATATGCCAGTTAAGTAAAAATGTGTGTTACAATTTATCCTGCAACTTTAAACTTTTTATAATGTCACTTCTTCAAACTAATTGAAAGATACTAATTTTTTAAAACATTGTAATTCTATATACTTAATGAGGTACAGTGTGATGTTTTGATACACATGCGCATTGGATAATAATCAAACAATTTAAGTCTAACACTCTGTTCATGTGAGTTTGGTGAGTTTTAAAACTATTAAAATGATAGCCACTTTCTGCTGGACAAAGCTTTCTCATCATGTCTCTTAGATCTGCTCTACTTCAGAAGCAATTTCATGTCAGTCAACTTCTTGGTCCCATGGGCCTAACAATGCCTAGCTCTGTTCTACCAAGCTGATTTTAAAAGGCAAGAAGAAAGGACTATTTGGAGAAAATGCCTGTTCAAATATACCAGGTAAGAACCATGTGAAAAATTCGAACAGAGGGAATTCAGGTAGATGTCAGAGTGTACCTGGTAGGTCCAGAAGCACACTCACTGGTCTTTTTCTGGATTAGTTATGTCTCTGGGGCCCCATCTTCTCACTGGCTTTGTCTCATGAATCTTTTAAGGAGGCCACAGAGATAGCTGTAGAGCTAGTGCCATGGAGTGCTAAGGACACAGATGTGAATACACACTCAAGATTGGCCAGTACCATCACTGAGCTGCTGTGTGGTGAGAGATGACACCAATAAACATGGGGGTGGGCAGTAAGGAAATACATTGCTGAAGTTAACTTATCTGGTTCAAACAACAAGTGAAGGCTCATAATCATTGGGTAATGACTAATAGGGTGATAATGACCATTATTTATTATATACCTCCTCTGGCTACATGCTTTAAGCAAATCTTCAATTGTTAAAAGACTCTTGGTGTGGCGAGTTGTTATTTCCATTTGTCAGATGGAAAAATTACAGTTCAGTAAAGAAGTGGCCAGGCACGGTGGCTCACACCTGTAATCTCAGCATTTTGGGAGGCCAAGGTGGGCGGATCACCCGAGGTTGAGAGTTCAAGATCAGCTTGACCAATGAACCTCATCTGGGGTCACCTTCTCCCTCGAGTGTTACTCTGTGGCTTCCATCCTTCTTGATCTGGTTAGACAGTTCCCACAATATCTGGTTCTGATGACCTCATCTGGGGTCACCTTCTCTCTCGGGTGTCCCACCGTGGTCTCCATGCTGCTTGGTACTGTCAGGAGCACCCTGGGTACCCTTTCTCTTGCTGCCTGCCTGCTCCTGGTCTTCTGTCAACTCTAGGCAATGGCATTCTATGCTGTCTCCTGGCAAGTGTCCCTGTGATGCCACCCTGCTGGAGTAGAGCTCAGTGTTGTGAGCCGTTCCCGTGCCTCCACCCACCCTGCCCACTCCCCTCACACCTCTCAGGTTCTAATTTCCCACCCCAACCCTTCCAGTGCTCAACTCACCTGAATGTGCTTCTCAGCACCTGCCTGGTCACTGGAACTGCCCCTGGACCCCGGCCGGAAAGGACTCACTGCCAAGTCGCAGACAGGAGGTAATGGACATACATTTGGATCTCATTTAGGCCTACCATTTCCTGAAAGAGATTATATAAGGAGTCACAAACCTCTCCCCACTTGAGAGCAGATGTCCAGAATCCAAACTCGATGTGTGTCTCAGAAAACTGAAGGTTTGCTGTATCAGAGGACATCCTGGCCAGTGTGGCAGATATCACCAATATGATAATACAGACGGAATAGCTCTCTCCCATTCTAAGTTACATGGCGACGTTAGAGTCTTTTAAGCATTTGTTGTAAACTACACATAAAACCTACCGTCTTGGGCATTTTTAAGTTTACAGTACAGTAGTGTTAAGTATATTCACATTGTATGAAATCAGTCTCCAGGACATTTCCTTTTTCTCCATTAAGCAACTCTCCATTTCCCTGTCCCTCCAACCCTTGGAAGCCACCATTTTATCTTTTGTTTCTATGAATGAATCTCTAGATACTTCATGTAATACGGTTTATTTTAAAAGAACCAAAAATATGCCTAGCATTGAGAAATTAGCCACCCCCTGGATTTCGTGAGCACCTAAACACTGACTTTAAAGCCTGTACTCTTCCTCATCGTGTGTTCTTTCATTCATTTGGGACATCGTGTGCTTTAGGACACGTTTGGGTGTCTGGGAGACAGTGTTGAATGTGTTTTACTATTGGATTGGTTGTCTATTCTTCTTCTTTTTTTTTTTTTTTTGGAGATAGAGTCTCACTCTGTCACCCAGGCTGGAGTGCAGTGGCACAATCTCGGTTCACTGCAACCTTCACCTCCCAGTTTAAAGCAATTCTCTGCCTCAGCCTCAGCCTCCCAAGTAGCTGGGATTGCAAGTGCCCGCCACCACACCTGGCTAATTTTTGTATTTTTAGTAGAGATGGGGTTTCACCATCTTGGCCGGGCTGGTCTTGAACTTCTGACCTCATGACCCACCCGCTCCAGCCTCCCAAAGTGCTGGGATTATAGGCATGAGTCACTGTGCCTGACCGGTTGTCTATTCTTTATTAGTTTGCTGGAGTTCATTATTTTGAGAATTGTGTGTACTACAAATATATTTTCTGTCTTTGTGGCTTGCCTTTTTAGTGTCTTAATCCTGTCTTTTTGAGACCAAAAATGTAAATATGGTCCAATATATTGGTCTTTCCCTTTGTGGTTATTGTTTTGTAAATGCCATTCATGACATCTTTTCCTAATTTGATATCCTGAAGATATATTTCTATGTTACCTTCTGGATCACTGCCATCCAATAAAAATAATGAACTGAGATACATATTATCTATCTAGACTAAATATTATCTGTTACCCACATTGAGAGAGAAAAGGGAATCCAATAAAGCTAAGTTTAATAATGTTTTATTTAACTTAGTATATCCAAATTATAATTTCAAACTTTCAATATAAAAATTACTGAGATATTTAACATTGGTTTTTTCCTACTGTTTAACATTCCAATGCAAGTTTTATGCTTATTAACACAACTCAAGTGTTCCATAACCATGCATGGGCAGAGCAATCATAGAAAATTTATTTCTTTTACCATTTCCCATTAGACCTGTGTTCTATCCGACTGATTTTTTTAGTCCTGAGGTGAGAATCTCGTGCGATTTTTTTCTAAATGAGTATCCAATTGACCCAGCACCAATTTATTGAAAAGACTATTCTGTCCTCGCTGTTCTGTCTGCTGTCATAGTCTCAGAGAAAGTGTCCACATGTGTGTGAGTCTCTTTCTGTTCTCCATTCTGTTTCATTTGTCTACTTGTCTATACTTTCACCACTCCTACACTATCTTAATTAATATAATTTTCATGATAAGTTCTCATATGTGGTAGGGAAAAATTTCTTTTCAGGAGAGTGTTGGCTAACCTTGGCCTCTTGCTTTCTATGTATATTTTAATTGTTAAGTTCTCAAAAATACAGGGGGATTTTGATTGAGACTTTAGATGATGTCTGATGGAGAATCTAGATATCCGTTGGAGGAGAGGCCTTTTTTAAGTATCATCAGTTCCTGTGGTACAGGTGTCTGAGTGGGATCTGGACATGCTCTTGCCTTCCATGCTCTGCTCCCCTCCCCATTGTGAGGTAGAAGCAGGTGATGAGAGAGGCTCAGCCCTCAGTGCTGTGTTAAGAGCACAGTGGAGATGTCCACCCCATTCTGCAGGAGACATTTCTCAAGGACAGAAGTTCCCTGCCATGGTTCTAGAATCCTCAGGCGAATACAAATAAATTTGGGGATAAACCAGACACCAAACACATAAAGCCAAAACTGAGTTTCCATCGCTAGCAGGGGCCTTGTGTCCTGTGAGCTCTCAGGGTCATTGTTCTTGCACTCACTTGAACCCAGGGCAGGACTTACCCTCCTTGAGAACAGGTTAGGTGTTCCCACTCCTCCTCCTTCTCTGTCACTGGCCCTGTGGTTTGCTTTGTGGCTACAGACCGAGTTCCATGGAGAAGCTAGGAACAAATGTAGAGGCTCATGCAAGCTGTCTGACCAGGCAGGGGAGGAAAGGAGCTGACTATTTCGAGACAGAAAATTGTTAGAGATATCTCTGGTCTCTGAAGAGGATTAACAGGATGGGAATGAAGGCAAAATACAGATGACAGTAGGGAGACCAGGACCTGGCCACAGAAAAGGGCTCCTGTGACTTACTGAGGCTGAATGCTGGCTTGCCATCATCTTGCATTTCCTTGTACACCAGGTCAGGCTGCTGGAATTCCACAGTCCTGACCATCCTGGACTGCACCAGAATGGTTCCAGGAGCAGGGAAACCATCTCCAAGATGAGACGTGTGAACCAAGAGGTCAGGTTGGGGGTGGTGGGGCTGGGGGCTGGGACTAGAGGACAGGGGACTAGAAAGAAGTAGGGCTAAGGAGGAGGGGTGGGGGAATAGGTAGAGAAGTCCCAGGAAACAGCTCTGGGACGACACCTGCAAGCAGGACTAGGAGGAGGAGTAGAGGGACAGGTAGGGGAGTCACGGGGAAGAGTTCTGGGACCAGAGCCTCGGCGAGGAGGACTAGGAGGAGGGCTAGGGTGATCGATAGGGGAGTTACCAGAAAGAGTTCTGGGACCACGGCATTGACAAATGAATGGTTTGTAACGAATAGCAGAAGAGCAGGGCAAGTAGAGTATTGTGGTAGGATAGTGGGGAGGGCAGGTATATGCCACAGTGGGATAACAGGTAGGGCAGAAAACTGAAAAATCTACATACTTCTGGAGAGGAGGAAGAGGCCTGGCAGATTGAGGAAGAGGGAGTTGAGGAAGAGGTAAGTGAGCTGGAGAAGGAGAGGGGGTTGGTTGGCAGCGGTTTGGATAACGAGAGAGGGTTTCAGAAAAAACGCTGCGGGTGAGCTTACGAGAGTGGGTTGACTCACGAGAGCGGGTTGACTCATGAGAGCGGGATTGATTAGGAAGGCAGAATGGATTAGGAGGCTGTGGAGTCATCAAACCGGGTACCGGGTGGGGTTGAAATTGAGAAATTGGAGGGAGATTTCCTTTCATTTCATTCTAGTTAGGTGCTTTTCCCAATCAGTTCAAATGAGTAACTGGGGTGTGCCCAGACCTACCCCAGCATTTATCACATGCCTACCCCTTGCATCGTACCATGTGTGAATGCCCATTATGATGCCTATGTGCCCGTCTCTTTTGGTCTAGAGAGAAGGCCCCACCAACCAGAGAAAGGATCCCAGTTTCTAGATGTAAGAGTGATCATGGGAAATAGCCAAGAGAAGAAATGGGGGCTGTGATATTCGTCCCTTTTCTGGGGATAGCATGGAGTCATGCCCCTCAGTAGGCAAAGTCTGATGAAAGGGTCTAGATGGATGGGGCCTAGGAGAGTGGTTCTGAGGCAGGACTTGGGAAAATGGGAAGAAGTCAGTGCCCCAGTCTTTCACTTTCTACAGTTTTCAAAGCACTTTCACATCATTTATATTGCTCCATGAATATATGTGATTAGAGGAGAGATGCTGTATTCATTGGATCAACGAGGACACTGAAGACCCGAGAGGAAGCTGCCATAGACAGGCAGTGTGACAAAGCACGTGGGACTAGAACTTGGGCCAAAAGGAGGGGCAGGTGGGAGGGAGCGCAGAATAGCCCGGAGTGCTGACCAGTGGCCTCCCCTCTTCCTGGTTCTCTGGACAGGAACCTTGCAGGGGGCGCTTCAGAGCACAACTTGCCTTTTTGTAGGAAGCTCTTGATCCCTGTGCCCCAGTGGTTTTATGCCTTACTCTTAATGGGAACCATAAACACAGCGCCAGAGCTGGCGGGAGGACTGTTCACTCCGGGACACCCAATGACTAGATTTGGACTTCCTAGCCCACCACCTGAGATGCCTGACTTCATGTCAGATGATTAAGGAGTCATCTGCACCCTCCATCCTTCTAACGTCTGATGGAGCAGCCCTCTCTGCTGAACATTCCCGGTTTCTGTGATCACCATCCATTCAAACTTGAAGCCGCTTTGTTCTTTCATTTTCTCTTGCACTCTTATCACATATTCTGAGTTTTCTCCCATGGTCCAATGTCCCTTTTCTCCCGCACTGCACACAACGTTCAGTTGTCATCTCTGGATGTCCAGCTGCATGATGAACAAATGTCCTGATTCTCTGTGGTTGTTCTGTCATTGACAGTTTCTTGCACATCCTGGATTTCCCATTGCTTCTCTTGTATCTCAAGTAGAGAATACACATTGTCTCAAACGCCAGAGTACTTCAGAGTGGAATGTGGTTTATAGATTCTCTTTGCTCCTCCCAATTCCTTAGAAATGATTATTTTTTGTTTTTCTGTCAGAAGATCTCTTGTTCCTTAGAAGCAGGTGCTGCTCACCCCCACTGCCAGCTCCCTGGCACTGCCACCTTCAGATCTCTTTGTGGAGATTTTCTTTTTCAGTGAAAACTTTCACACTTCTCCTAAAGCCTTACATTTGACTTTATCGTCCTGACTGACTTCAATGTCCATTTCAGTGACCTGATTTAATTCTATGGGCTCTGCTTTTCCTGATATTTTCATTTACTTTTAGGAAGTTTTCTGGAGGGGCTGAGATGGCCAAATAGGAACAGTTCCTGCCTGAAGCTCCCAGTGAGATCAACGCAGAAGGCAGGTCATTTCTGCATTTTCAACGGAGGTGACCTGTTCATCTCATTTGAACTGGTTAGGCAGTGCAACCCGTGGACAGCGAGCAGAAGCAGGATGGGGTAACACTTCACTTGGGAAGTGCAAGGAGCTAGGGGACCTCCCTCCCCCAGCCAAGGGAAGCTATGATGGACTGTGCTACCCAGCCTGGATACTATGCTTTTCTCGTGGCTTTTGCATTCTGCAGATCAGGAGATTCCCTCTTGTGCCTACACCACCAGGGCCCTGGGTTTCAAGCACAAAACTGGGCAGCTGTTTGGATGGAGAGTGAGCTAGCTGCAGGAGTTTTTTTTCATACTCCAGTGATACCTAGAACCCCAGTAAGACAACCATTCGCTCCCATGGAGAGAGGGCTGAATCCAGGGAACCAAGTGGTCTCACTCAGTCTATCCCACGCCCAGGGAGCCTGGCAAGCTAAGAACCACAGCTTTGAAATTCTCACTGCCAGCACAGCAGTCTCAAGTTGACCTGGGATGATCCTGCTTGGTGGGGGGAGAGGCATCTGCCATTACTGAGGGTTTAGTAGGTCATTTTCCCCTGACAGTGGTAAGGAGGCTACAAGGCTGGACTGGGCAGAATTCACCACAGCATGGCAAAGCAGCTGTGGCCAGACTGCTTCTTTAGATTCCTCCTCACTGGGAAGGGCGTTTCTGAAGGAAAGACAGTAGCCCCAGTCAGAGGCTTACAGATAAAACTCTCATATCCCTCGGACAGAGCATCTGGGGGAAGGGGCAGCTTCAGTAAATTCATCTTTCCTGCCTGCCGGCTCTAAACAGAGCAGGTGATCCTGAGAAGTGGGCTTCTCCCAGCACAGCACACCAGCTCTTCTAAAGGACAGACTGCCTCCTCAAGTGGGCCCTGACTTCCATGTGTCCTGACTGGGAGAGACCTCCCAAGAGGGGTCGACAAACACCTCATATGGGAAAGCTCCAGCTGGCATCAGACCAGTGCCCCTCTGAGATGAAGCTTCCAGAGGAAGGAGCAGGCAGCAATCTTTGGTGTTCTGTTGATACCCAGATGGACAGGGTCTGGAGTGGACGTCCAGTAAACTGCAGCAGACCTGTAGAAAATGGGCCTGACTGTTAGAAGCAAAACTAACAAACAGAAAGCAACAAATCAACATCAACAAGGAAGACCCTATACAGAAACCACACGCAAAGGCCATCCGCATCAAAGATGAAAGGTAGATAAACCCACAAAGATGAGGAAAATCAGTGCAAAAACGCTGAAAATTCCCTAAACCAGAATGCCTCTTCTCCTCAAATGATCACAATTCCTCTCCAGCAAGGGCACAAAACTGGACGGAGAATGAAACTGACAAATTGACAGAAGGAGGCTTCAGAAGGTGGGTAATAACAAACTCCTCCAAGCTAAAGGAGCATGTTCTAACACAATGCGAGGAAGCTAAGGACCTTGATAAAAGGTTAACAGGAATGGCTAACTAGAATAACCAGTTGAGAGAGGAACATCAATGACCTGATGGAACTGAAAAACACAGCACAAGAACTTTGTGAATCATACACAAGTACCAATAGCTGAATCTATCAAATGGAAGAAAGGATATCAGCGATTGAAGATCACCTTACTGAAATAAGGTGTGAAGACAAGATTAGAGAAAAAAAAAAGAATGAAAAGCAATGAACAAAGCCTCCAAGAGATATAAGACTATGTGAAAAGACCAAACCTATGACAGATTGATGTACCTGAAAGTGACAGGGAGCATGGAACCAAGTTGGAAGACACACCTCAGGATGGTATGCTGCAGAACTTCCCCAACCCAGCAAGACAGCCCAACATTTACATTCAGGAAATACAGAGAACACCACTAAGATACTCCTTGAGAAGAGCAACCCCAAAGCACATAATCACCAGATTCCCCAAAGTTGAAACAAAGGAAGAAATGTCAAGGGCAGCCAGAGAGAAAGGTCAGGTTACCTACGAAGAGAAGCCCATCAGACTAACAGCAAATCTCTCTGCAGAAACTCTACAAGCCAGAAGAGAGTGGAGACCAATATTCAATATTCTTAAAGAAAAGAATTTTCAACCCAGAATTTCATATCCAACCAAACTACGCTTCATAAGTAAAGGAGAAATAAAATTCTTTCCAGATGAGCAAATGCTGAGGAATTTTGTCACCACCAGGCCTGCCTTACAAGAACTCCTGGAGGAAGGACTAAATATAGGAAGGAGAAACTGGTACCAGCCACTGCAAAAACACCCCAAAATATAAAGTCCAAGGACACCATGAAGAAACTGCGTCAACTAATGTGTGAAATAACCAGTTAGCATCATGATGACAGGATCGAATTCACACCTAACAATATTAACCTTAAATGTAAGTCTGCTAAATGTCCCCATTGAAAGAGACAGACTGGCAAATTGGGTAGAGTCAAGACCCATCAGTGTGCTGAATTCATTCAGGAGACCATCTCATGTACAAAGACACACATAGGCTAAAAATAAAGGGATGGGAGAATATTTACTAAGCAAATGGAAAGCAAAAAAAAAAAAAAAAAAAAAAAAAAAGCAGGAATTGCAGTCCTAATCTCTGATAAAACAGACTTTAAACCAACAAAGATCAAATAAGACAAAGAAGATCATTACCTAATGGTAAAGAGATCAATGCAATGAGAAGAGCTAACTATCCTAAATGCATATGCATCCAATACAGGAGCACCCAGCTTCATCAAAGTTCTTAAAGAAGACAGTGTAGCAATTCCTCAAGGATCTAGAAATAAAAATTCCATTTGACTCAGCAATTCCATTACTGGGTGTCTACCCAAAGGATTATAAATAATTCTATTATAAAGACACATGCACACGTATGTTCACTGCAGCACTGTTTACAATAGCAAAGACCTGGAACCAACCCAATGATAGACTGAATGAAGAAAATGTGGCACATATACACCATGGAATATTATGCAGCCATAAAAAACGATGAGTTTGTGTCCTTTGTAGGGACATGGATGAACCTGGAAACCATAATTCTGAGCAAACTGACACAAGAACAGAAAATCAAACACCGCATGTTCTCACTCATAGGTGGGTGTTGAACAATGAGAACACATGGACACAGGGAGGGGAGCATCACACATGGGTAGGTTGGGGGTGGCTAGGGGAGAGACAGTGGGGGTGTGGGGTGGGGAGGGATAATGTGGGGAGAAATAACCAGATATAGATGATTGGGGGATGGAGGCAGCAAACCACCTTGCCTTGTATGTAACTATGCAACAATCCTGCATGATCTGCACATGTACTCCAGAACCTAAAGTACAATTAAAAAAAAAAAAAAAACAACAACAAAGAAAGAAACATACATTACTGTGCTAGGAAATTCCATGGTATGATGTGAGTAGGATACTGATC